GGGGGGGGTTTCTTCTCGCCGGCCGGCCGTTTTCCGCACGTTACACGGCCGCGCGCAGTACACGACGTCATTGTTGTTGCGATAATGTAACGGATTGCCGCGCGCCGTGTCCGATAACGATCGGACGGGCATAAAACACTCGGGACAGCGGGCCGCGCGTTGGGTATTATAATACGGTCGTATAACGTACGGGCGCGGGGGGAAGTATTGAAAATAAAAAAACCGAACGAAACGATTATATTATAATAAATACCCGGGACGCGAAAAAAAAAAAAAAAAAATCAGAGCAGTTTCCGCGCGCGCGCGCGCTCGCTCGCCGAATGAATTTATGGCCTTTGAACGCGGACAATAAAATATTATAATATGCTCGCGACGACGACGACGACGCGGACTCGTCGGACATCACGTCGTGTCCGCCGTATCGTAATAATAATAATAATAATAATGCGAGCGAGAAAAGTACGGCGAGAACGTATATTTATCTGAATCGTACGGGGTATGGCGAGAAACCGTTTGAAAAAAAAAAAAAAAAAAAAAAACAAAAAATCGACAAAACCGAAACGAGACGAGAACGCGAATAAACTCGTCGCCGTCGGAAAATATGATCGTTTCGAAATGGACAAAAGTCCTACGGAGTTTAATAATCATTTTTACTGCGGTCTCTGCAGCTGCAATCCGCCGGGTTGCGTATTAACGTTCCCTATGTAGGCGCATACTCGACGAAACAAGACGAAATATAATATGTTAGTATCTAGACCAAATCGTAGATTAAAATCTTTAATGGCGATCGACTACAAATTTGAAAGGGTAAGACATTTCAAGTACTATAGGCGCAGATATATATTTACGAAGACGCTAATATCCGCGAAGAAATAAAAATACGGCTCGTCTCGGCGAACAGGCGTTATTATAATATATGGATTGACACCGTCTTTCAAATCGAGATTACTATCTGAAAGATCAAAAGTCTACCAACCAACCAAGTATCCCTGTATGCATATGCAGCACTTGGGCCACGACAAATTTAGAACAAAAAAAACTTAGATGTGTTTGAGAGAAGGATATCGAGGAAAATATTCGGTTCAAAAAGAAACAATGAAGGAGAATATGAAATACGGAACAACAAAATGTCTGGAAGAAATATATAACAAACCTAGCATTTTTGGAACAATGAAAAATACGCGAAGAAGTTGGGCGGGACATGTATGGAGATCAGAAGTACTGATCAAACAAATAACAGCGCGGAAACCAAACAAAAAGATACCCGGAGAAAGACAAGACCCAGACAAAGATGGACACACAGAAAAAAGGAAGATCCGAGGATATTGAGAGTAAGAAACGCAAAAGAAACTGCAAGTGACAGGGAAGAATGGAGGCGGTTTTCCGTTGCGGCCACGGTTCAGAAAGGCCTGTCAAAAGCCGGAGAAGGAGAAGATGTGTAGGTATACTCGAAACGGGTCACAGATGCAAATGGAATCTTATTAGATCTAATCGAACGAATGGATCGCTTCACACACGTTCCGATAACGCGATACTCTGTTTCGCTGTCGGTCCGAACGTGACACTGTTCCGAAGGAGTTTGCGACCAGATTGGAAAATCTAAAACTCGTAGTCTTGGACAAAACGCGGTGGAGGGGAGGGCGATAAATCCGGATTCGAAACCAACAATATCGATTACGTACACGGACGTTTCGTCCATTGATCGGAACGCCGTCAGAACAGATAATACGTTGAGTCGTATACGTACTTAAAACGGTACCTGACCAACCGCGGGAATCGGTCCGCGTCGCTGCGGCGCTCGTTTAAATTATAGAGAACGTTAATACGCCCCCGGGTTGCCTCGGCCGCGCTCTTACGCCGCGCGTCTTCGTGGAGGACACTATTTTTTCTGTATTTTTTTTTTTTTTTTTTTTTTTTTTTTGTTATTGCCGCCGCGGCCGTCTCGGGACATCGGCGGCCGCTTCTCGTTTCCGCGCGCATCGCCATGTTCGGCCTGCCGCCGCCGCAGCCGACGACGACGACGACGACGACGAGAGATCGTACGTATTGTATAAACTTCAGCGTCGCGCAATAATATCTGCACGTCCTGTATATATATATGTATATGTGTATATGTGTATAAAATCCTTGCCGGACACAAACGTAGGAATATATATATATATACAGGGCGACGGTAGTTTCTGTCGTGCAGAGACGACAGATTGGAGGTGTTATAACGGGGCCTGATCGACGACGACAGCGACGGCGGGGGTTATATATAAGTGGGTATATATATATATATAGGACATATAGGTACTGCATCTGATTGATACGAACAAATTGAACTTTGGTCCGATAAGGGAATGCGTACGGCCGACAGGTTTGCGGCAGATCGCGGATACGCGCGATTGCGGACCGCGGACCGCGGAGCGGCAGCAGCCGCAGCTACGGTAGTAGTAGTAGTAGTACTAGCAGTAGTAGTAGAAAAAAAAAACAGTATAATGACAATATAAAAGGTCAGTGTAAATAGAAAACCGGCGGCGGTATAATATGTTTTGCCTTTTGCCATATCGCGCCTTAACCGCATTCTAATACATTATACGTATAGGCATGTAGGTTTAATGTTATTATTATTGTTGAAAAATACGATACGAAATATTTCATATGCCTAATTGGAACGTCAGTATATTAATGTATACGCGCGCACGGTGTCGTATGCCCGTCGCGAAATACATAAAAACGCGTCGATTTCCAATTTGATTGCACTGAAAACGGAAAAAAATTACAAACAATATCGGATTCGTTGATTTTATTCGTTAGGTGGGCGCGGATCACGCGATTCGTGGTTCGAAATCGTATCGTTACTTACACCGCAGTGCGCCGATAACGGACGGAAAACGGCTTTTAGTTTTGTCTGTACAATTGTTTCACGACGAAATTTTAATTACGCAATAACGTCGTTATACGTCACACGTATTTTCGTCGAAGTCCCCGCAGAAAATAGAAGAATCTATTACGCTGCGTTGATACACTTGCGGACTGATTTTAAATATTATGAGCGGAACGAGGCGTGTTTTGGTTTTACAATAATGTTTATTTTTTATTTTTCTGCGAATAACTTTTTCGCCGGACATTTCGCTCAGATTTTCAAGCGTGGCACTTATTCCGAAAGGAAATTTTCACAGAGTGGCGCTTTAAAGAGGTCACTTTTTGATTTTGTCAAGAGTTCCTCCAATAAATGGGAAAAACCGTGAAAAACTTAAGATACACTTAAGAAAATTTACGAAACGTATTATTTTCAAATCGTAAATATTACCAAACACGTATAACCGAACTTCACTCAGAATCGCTTTTCGTTAGCGATGATATGGACGTTGCGTACAGATATACATTAAATTTCCATTCTACCTTCCTGAATTCAATTCTTACCCACAGCTGCGGCCCACTCATCGTGCGAAGTATATTCATTTGTTTTTTTTTTTTTTTTTTTTTTACGTATATAATATAATTCCTTTAAAACTATTATAACGACTTGTATTCCATACTAGTATAACAACATTGATAAATATATAATCACTCTCTCTGTTTCTCGCTCTGTAGTGATAGTCCTTAGATCGGTGGTTTGATTAGGTTCCGTGTTAATTTTCAATTATAAACGTATCCCTGACATTGTATCTGCGGATACGTTTTGATTCTTTTTTGTATAGGAGAACACGCGTTTAGGCGCGTAGTAGTCGACACGGGTAAATGTGTACAATAAAACTTTGATGAAACAATGTTTATTTGGATGTTGTTCCTATGTTCCTTATCACATACACCATACGTACTATTAGGAGTTGTTGGAAAATTGATAAGAGATTTTTTTTTCTGATTCGGTTTGAAGTATTGACAACAAAATGTTTGTATAGACATTTTCATTATATATAAAAAAAAAAAAAAATGTATCAATAATGTATTTTTTTTATATTTCGTCGATTTTCTTTTCAAAATAATTTATATATATATATATACACCATAATAATTTGTGTACAACGGAGCATTTGATTGATCACGGTTACATGTTGCCAGGTTAGGATTTATAAAGCCAAAATTTATCTAGAAATGTTTTTCTCATCTATCCGAGCAATTACAAAGACATTAATTTACGAGTATTTGAGAATAATAATCGATTTACTTTTTTACAGCAAGTAGTTGATGATATTATTGAACATATCGTTAGCTTCATTGTGTATAAACTAACAGCTAAATTAATTTGTGATGATTGCACTTGAGTTTTAAACTCGAACCCATTCTGAATCTGGATTATCAATAACCATAAATAACCGAGGTGGATTAACTATTCATTAGTGAATAACATAATTTATTATACAAGGTTTACGAGCGTTAAACGTTAAATTATCGCACAGGCAAATTTTTTTTTTTTTTTACGTTGGTAACACCTCCGATACAAAAATTATTGCATCTCTATCCTAATTAGTTTTCTGAGCACTACCCTGTGCCCACCTAGTGTATCGATAGCAGTCCTACAGGTATATATTACAAAAATTAAACAAAGACGAGGTGATCTCACTCCCAGATTCCCCTTGCGATTCCTCTCATCCCCCCCCCCATCAAGTGACGTAGGTGTCGAGTAGACGAATGAAAAAATTCGGAAAAAACTTCCACCCTCGATATATTAGTATATTAGTTTGATACTATTAGCATATTCGTCAACTCGCCTCCGGCCTATCGTCTCGTATAGTTAGTAGTTGGTGTGAGTTTTTATTTTTATTTTTTCGTGCGCGTCTAGACGGCAGCGCTATTACCCGCGACCATTAGAAAGCTATAATAGAAAATACCGTTTTGTCGATGTTCGAAATCAATACTCGCCCGTCGCAATACCGGGGTACTCGTAAATCGTAATCTCTATACTATTATTATTATTGTACACTCGCAACAAGTGTATAAGGTACGAATAATAATATACGACTGTGTACAGGAAATGAAAATTAATTATTAACCGTATTAACAGCGAGTCATCTCGCGCGGGACGCCCGTGCGCCGCGCCGGCCTTTAATAATTTGTCGTTAACCGAGCGGTACCGCGATAAAACATTTAAAAAAAAAAAAAAAAAAACGCGGTAATTTTTAGTACTTAAAATGCGCCGGCGATAATACTGCGTACGCCTAATAATAACATACTACCCATATTGTAAATCAAACCGGCTATTGTTTTTTTTTTTTTCTCCTGTTGTTGTTTATGCGAATATAAAAAACAATAAATCACGCCGGTCCGAGAAAATTGTTATTTTGAAATATCGTATTGTCCCGCGAACATCGGACGTCCCGGCGATGGGCCTCGGTAATGGCAAGTCGCCTGCGCCCGGCATGTTCGCGGCCCATAACATACATAGCGGTCGGCGCGGCGATAATACTGCGTACGCCTAATAATAACATACTACCCATATTGTAAATCAAACCGGCTATTTTTTTTTTTTTTTTTTTTCACACGTAGAAAACGCCCGGTGGAGTATATTCGCACTGTTGGTGTTTATAACACGCCATCGGGGTGGCCGATTTCTCCCTTCGTACTATCGAGTGTGTTCGGCCGCACCGGACTCTCTCGGATCAGAAACCACATCACTCTGCGCGCGTTCAACTGTCGGGAAAGCGTTCGTCGAATTACCCCCGTCCCATTCTTCCCGCCGCTCGCTTTGTCCGGACCCGTTTCATTGTTTCGCAACAGATTCGCCTGCACGATTCGCGCCGGACGGTTCAGGAGTTTTCAACCGATTACCCCGTGCTCGGCCGAAAGTTTCTGGTCAGGCGACTTTGCGACCGTTCGCAACCATTTGCGCCGATCTATTTCGCAATCAACGTGGATAAATAAATTGAAATTTTCAACTCGGTATTTCGGGCGCGATTTCAACGTACCAATGTCCGAGGTACGAACATATCTAATAATTTAAACAAATATAACAATCGATATTGATTAATAGTGAACGCGGCGCAGAAAAAAACGGACCGGGAATCGACACCTGCGGGTCACTACATTTCTTGCCGGGCGACTTCACTACCACTGAGGGTCTACCCGGGACGTTTTTATACTCCAAGAATACTGAAAAATATAACACCTAAATGGGTAACGTGTTCTTTTTCTTCGGTCAGTGAACAAGTTTTAGACCAAAAAACTCGCGTTGATCAAAAGATACATACGCAAACAGTTGTCTTGTAGCATTTTTTTTTTTTAATGTTATCGGTAGTGACGTAGTCAAGGGAACTCAGGTGGGATATTGACCTCGCTTGCCGTATTTTGAGGAACCGTCGTCAACTTTGAAAACATGACGAAATAGCGTTTTCTATTCTGAGTGG